CAGGTGATATCCTAGGTGGTTCTCATTGCACACTCACCATCTCTGTGCCAGCTGTCGCCAAACTTACCTGATTTCCTATATCTATGGACTTGCCTGAAGAGGAACAGAGACAAATACCTCTAACTGCTACAGGCATCACATTGACATTCCTACTACAGAACAAACACCGTGGTGTTTTCTGAGACATAAAATAAGAGTGGTGTCAGTTTCTGAAGGCTGAGCCTGGGTTAACCTCAGTTCTGAACACACCCTTGCACTTAGTCAGGTACCACTTCTTCAGCAGGGACAACAATCACATCTAAAGATGATGTGCTTCTTGGTCATTTTCTATTCCTGAGTTCTAAGAGGCATATAAGAATGATTTCCTTTAAAGTATAACCAAACAATCCTCTGCTTCTAATTGGAACTGATAATATCCAGGTGAGATGATAAATCATCTTAAACAAGGCACTAGCAACTTTTCATAGGAAATTAATCTGCACTTACAGAGAGGCAGCTAAACATGGCCTCTTTTTAGCAATGACAGAAGAATAGTTTCAAATTTCCAGAATCCAGATTTTGCTCGCGCTTGTATTTACCTAACATTTGGACTATTTCACATTAAATTGCCAAAAAGCTGAGAAAGAACAAGACCATGTTTGAACTATTGGCCTTAGACTTCTGACTTAATATGAAGAAGTGGAACAAATTTTCTTGCCCGACCTACATTTTAGTTCAAGAAATGCCGAAGAGTGATTTTCTACCTCTGCCTCTTTCCTTCCAGGTCTGAACATGTCCTTGACTAGTTCCATTGTGTCAACACATTAAAACATGCTTGCTGAGCAAGAACCAGAATTGACTCTGATCATGGGTAATAAGCTTGGTTTCTTTCTATAGCAGAACTAACATGATCTTTCAAAAAGACTACATTATGAGACAGCTTTCATTAGGAACTGCATACTTTGCACCTGGCTCTAAATTCAGTTTTGATGATGCTCTAAGTCACTTCAGAGTGTGAACTATATTTTCAGAATAGAACAGATCTCCATTCCTGATGCTCCTGTTCCATGTACCAAATTTCAGATAATGCAACACATGAACATTGAATGAAACTTTGATCCATCTGCTAAAAAAATAGTGTATAATGCATCTTTAATATTAAAGTCCATAGCAAAGGAATATGGAAGAGTCATTTAAAACATCACTACCAATAGTCTAGCATTACACCTTGTTCATTATTTTTCAATTTCCAAAAGAGAAAAGAAGCAATAAAGCAATATATTTTCCTTTATCAGGTTATCAAAACAGATAACTCAAATGAAACTTCTTTAAATCAACTATAATTAATGACCTCAATAGGGGGGAACAGCAGAAATAAATTCCACAATAGTCTCTGGTCTCCAAATATTTTCTCTTACATGGCAATATAGTATGCATGGTGTTCCCTTTTGTGTATTTCTTGGGTCAAAGGGACTACTACTCTGGGTTCTCCCATTTCACACCCATTGCCTAAAGAAGCGGGAGTCTCAGAATGGCCTCTAGTGTTTGATAATAGTCATAGGTAATCATAGGAAATCAAATATTGGCAATGGATGTTCTGGGCATGACGAACACCATCTGTGAATTCATTTGTATCATAAAAAGAATGGCAGAAAGTTTGCGAATGAGTTTATTTAAGGTTATCATTTTAAAGTGAGACCTTCATGGAAATTGATTATTGGAGCTTTGAGACTTGGGCACAGACCTGTCACTTGGAAGACAGCTGCTTTGTTGCAGATGTAGCTCATCGTATCAGCCATTGGTACCTACTGCCTCTGGTTAGATGCCCCAGAGCTGTCTTCTGAGACAGACATGCTGAACTCAGTGGAGTTACCCCAAAATACCACACACGAAAACCCTACTGAAGTATGAAGACATACTGAAGCTAAAGAGATTTGATGGCCCTGGGGCAAAGTTGATGAAGAAAGTGACTGACGGTGTTGGGGAAATACTTATGATTTTTTCTAAAATCCAGGAAAATATTGTAAAGAATCCTAAGGATATATGTAAATTCGAATACTATCAAGGCTGCATTTTCAGTGTATATTAAGGAGGTATTTATGAAAAACGATTAGCTGTGTGCAGACTTGATATTTTTAAGATAAAATTTCCTCTGCTATTCAATTTCATTCTAACATATCCCCTTAGGTAGCCACTTGGGGACATGGAGTCCTCTGTGCTGAGACTTTGTCCCTAACTTTGAAGGCATGACCCACTAATTCTACTAAAGATTCCACTGGAAATAGGCACTCAAATAGCCTTTGACTCCCGTGATTTTCATGCTTGTACAGATAAAGAAGGAGATAAGGACACCCTTGTCTAAAACTCCTCCACTGTGGCAGTTGACCACAAAAAATCCAAGGACCGGACCCACAGAACCATGCTTGTGGGTCATGATCCCCACCAGGGACCAACCATAACACTCACTCACGGGTGACCAGGTCCCCAGCGTTCTTCATCACCTACTTATCTGACTGTTTCCCACATTCTCTTCTTTTCTCTCTAGCATCACCCTGACTCAATGGGACCAGACCCCTGGTTCACCCCAAACCACATGAACGGACCCTTCCTAGGGACAGAGGTTTCTCCACAGCAGGGATGCCCTCAAATCCATTCAGTTTGTAGTTCCTCTTCAATTCCTTTAGAATCTCTGCCTAACCTTCCTCATTCACAAGAAACCCTCTTTTCCCCCCAATGTTAATGCTAATTCTAGTCAGAATCCACTTGAATAGGCTGAGTGAAACACTCCTACAGGAGCAGGGTTGTTTAGGTATTTTAAGCACCAGTAGCACAGAAATATGCTAACAGTGAAATGGGGAGTTTTGGAAGGAAATGCCCATGAGTCTGGTGACTGTGGCTCTTCCAGGTAGTGGAGCCTGATCCAGTGTTCCCAGAGTTCCTTAGGATTCACTAACTCCATGTCATTCAGAGGTGACAAAGCCCTCAGGTTCATCAAAGTCACTGATCTCTGAGCCACATGCTGTGCAGAGTGTGGGAATTCTGTTCTCCTTTTTATAAAATATTAATGCATTGTAGGATCCATATAGATGGTGACTAGTCTAGCCTAGAGAAAAGACCCTGATCAACACTGAGAATCACTTCAAAGAATTTAAATGTAAGACTAAAGCCAGTTTCCCAGTGAAAACCAGCCAAAGTCCAACTGTATTCAGTAATAACTATAGAAGTTAAATACTAATTAATGTCATTTTACATCAAGTTCATATAAGTGCAGCTTAGAAATATTACTGCCTGTGCTGCTTGTACCAAAAAAAAAAAAAGGAAGGAAGGAATAAGGAAAGAAAGAAGGGAGGGAATAAGGAAGTGAGGGAGGGAGGGAAAAAGGACAAAGGAAGAAAGGAAAAAAGATAGAGAATAAAAAAGTCATCATTCAGGAATTTTAAAATGTGACCCACACGGTTTCGGAAGGAGTCCCAAACATCCCGGCCTACAGGAAAGCTGCTTTACAAAGGAGGTTCCAGTAGAGGTGATAGACACCGCTGTGTAAGCGCCCAGCAAGGGTTCGTGTAACAGTAAGGAGATGTGTAGACTGTGAAGCCGGAGCAGTAGCTACACAGTGATGAAAACAAACGTTACTCCACACCTGTGTACAATACTTAGAATATAGCTAAAATTATTCTAAATCAGCTGCTATTCTGTTAGGTGCAACAGAGAGAGACAGAACAAGTTTCCTTTGAATAGAGTGTCAGGGAAATAAGATGAGGGGATTTTTTGCAGTGCTAATCTCTTAACATTTAAATTATCAACAATATGAAAATTTTGTGGCGGAGAAAGGGTATTTCGCCTGGTCGTTGTGTAAGTTTGATTAAAGACCAGCTTGCATGTCATTTAGAAAGCATTTCCCACCAAATCCAGTGATACATTCTTGAATTAGTATCCTGTTTCCCAGGGGAAATAAAATGATCTTGTAAGCTTAGAAAATATTGTGGGGGCTTGGGGGTCGGTATTAATACAACAGCTAACGTGCCACACAGTGAGGGTGTTTTTTTCTTACAAGAAAGTCATGAGTTCAAGAATCTGATGAAAATCCAATGCAGGAACAATTAGGAAATGATCTGGCTAGATTTCACCTCATGAGTGTGTGCTTATAGACTGAGAACTCTTAAAGTGCATGCGGGGAAGGCAGGAGGTGCAATATGTGGTCTCCACTGGGAAGACCCTGAAAGTCATTCCTTTGCAATCTAACAGATCCCTCAGAGCCCACCTGGCAATTTAATTTTAATAATTTTAATACAGAATAATTACAGCATATTTGGGTATGTGAATATTTTGAATTCGAAAATATTCATTATTCAACACAGGATTTTCCTAACACTTTCTGAAACTATTTGTTTAACTCGGATAGGGTGAAACACATACCCTAATGAAATTCTATGTTCCTCATTACCCAAACCCTATATTTTCACAGATCTAAAAGTTCATTTATCAATAAGAACATGTTTTAATGTCTACCCAGGCCTTTATCACAATGTCTAGAGGCACTGGATGGACATTTTCAATCTTCTTGTTATTTTCAATAATTATTCAACCCACTACCATATGTTATGTATCAGTCGTTTGCGAGTAATTCTTTTCGCCCCAGGGACTTCTATGAATGATGTTATAACACTCTGAAATGCTTATCAATAATCAATGCTGAGACCACGGGGATTATTCAGAACCTTACTTCCAATTACCCTGACTCTTCAAGGTGCATTTGAAACGCTGGTGCTTCCATGCAGGGAGGAGTGGGATTGGGTGGGGTTGGGTGGATGGGAAGGCAGCACTAATAGAAAAGAAAAGGCACCAGAGCTGGATATCTCCCTCTCCTGGCCTGGAGGCAGCAAGTGACAGCTTGGGATTGGGGTAGCACTTCATTATGGGCTGCAGTGGGCTCCAGAAAGCCAGCTTTACACATCAGTAATGCTCTTGATAGGGGCTGATGGCCACACATTAGTTATATCAGACAGATGGAAAACAAAAAGTTGCTTTTCATTAAACGTCAGTTCCTTTAATACTTTCCATAACACGGAAAATTTTAAAAGTTGTTTTTAGTTATAGTTCAGTACTTTCAATACTTTCCCTAATTGGCATCATAAATGTTCAGGATTTTTCTTTGCAGGAAGAGAGGAGGTGTAGTCTATCCAACTGCTAAACAAGTGGTTATTTACAGACTGGCTCTTCAGGACATTAGTATGGAGCAGACAGGTGGGCTTCCAGGCCAACAGCATGGCACGGAGCTCCCTGGAATACCATGAAATACGAAAGTCAGAATAAGGCTAGTTTTGCAGCAACCTACAGAACGGGTTCACACCTCGTTGAGTCTGTGCCTCTGCTCCGTGTGTCCACCTCCACCAGTGATAACACAGTAACTGTGTCAAATCCACAGTGGGGTGGGCCACACTCAACCCTCACCTCTGCAGGTGCAGGCCAGGTGTAATCCCTAGGCTTCCCCCGGCCACAATCATTCTATGTCCAAACACAAGATGCTTCCGAGAATCCATGTATTATCCAGATTCGGTAAGGTGAAAGATTCATGGTGAATAATTGTTTGGCCACGTTCGTTTTCTTCATTTTATTAAATACTACAAACCTATGCACTCTTGTGGAGGTGGGGGGGACTCTCAGATAAAGTGCCTATTTTCTTGAATTAAAAGATCATGGAGATTTACACTCAAAAGCTATAAGATGTGCACATTTCTAAAGACTCCTTCCCATGTGGGTGGCATATTTATAAGATAAAGCTCAAGAAAAAAATGGACTTGTTAGAGAAACGGACTGAACACAATAGAAAACCTCACACTGTGACTCATTCAACAATAATCAAAACTTGTAGGTCAGATTTTCAGGATGTCATGTTTACATTTTTGTTGCTTTTAAGGACATGTATTTCTGGCAGCAACAGGACATTTGCAGCTTGAAATGAATGTGAAATGTATCCAAACATCATCTCTGGAGCCTCAGAAACATGGACAGTCATGGAGCACAGGACTTGAGGAACTGAGGATTTACAAGAAGCCAAAAATAGAAGAGCTTTTAATACTCATCATAATTATTGAGATCTGTAAAGTAGGCATTAGAATATGTCTTCCCAGTGAGATGTGGGTTGAAGTATTTGTTTCTTTCCTCTAGAATCAAGTTGTTTTTGTTAAATGCCTGTTAAAAAAAAAAAAAAAAAAAAATACTCCATAAGTAGTATTTCAGAAAGAACAGAATTAGGGGACTTTTTATGTTGAGTTTGGTCTCTCTCCCAAAGCTGTTATTTTCCAATGTGCTTCTCACTGACTGTCTTTCCCAGACTCTTTGCCTCCGGGAGGACTTGCCTAAAAACTAAAATGAGGTTGGCAGTTTTTGTCTTCTGGTCTATTTTTGAACTTTAGTCAGGAAGTTTCTGAGATAGGCAGAAGGTTAGAAAACCTACATCTAAACCTCTAGAAAACCTAATACTCTAATGATTTCATATTAACAGACACTTTGAATGTTACCACATACAACTGGGTAGATATTTAAGTAGTTTTCAGACTCCATGAACAGGTGCATTTATCAGAGACCTGAGTCAAACTTCAGTAAATGCATTAGATTTCAAATGCCTTAATTCCTTTTCTTCTGCACCTATCAGAGGTGACTACTGTAGCCATTTGTCACAGATGCCTTTACTCATTACTAGTCATTATATTCATTTGTGATTTTAAAGAGCTAAACCATGCCAGGTAGGAATTCTGAGAGGAACAAAATAAAGATGAAGGGGTAGGCAGAGGCCACCTGTCCAGAGCTAGTGTGAGCGAGATGTTAGGAGAGGGTTCTAGAAGGATTCATTAAAGACTAGGCAGCTGTCCATGCCCTCAAAGTCCTTTGCCCTCATGGCAACAACATTTCTGATTATCTTAAAAGTGGCTACTGGATCTAAGTGAGAACACAAGGCCAGCTAAGTTACCTTCTGATGCCTGAAGTAACCATGACCACAGATAAGCCGATGTGCTAGAATCACTCTTACAGGAGCCCCATTCTTGGCTTTGGAGGTTTGTTTGGTGGGGTTTTGCTCATAGAAGCACCTCGCTTTTCTTCTAATATTCTGGGGGATCATTTCTGAAAGGCTACTGGGGGCATGTTGTTAGTTTCTGGGAGTAGAAAAATAGGACACTGGGGCTCCTGGGACATAAGATCTTCCAGCACCTGAAATCGTAAGGGCTGAAGATATTCCCTATTCTCACATTAAGAAGGAAATTTGATTTCAAAGGAAACCATCATAACAGAAGCAGGGCATCAAGGGAAACTGCCAATAGGAATATCAAAAAATCTCACTCATGTGGGTAAGAAGGGAGGTTAGGCATGATAGACAAGCCCCTGACCTTCTGTGTAGACACGATAAGAACAACAGCTACTCACTGCTGGGTGCTGGGCCTCATGTACACTATACAACTTAAACCTCACGACAATGATATGGCAGTATGTATTACTACCCCCATTTTAAAGACAAAGAAACTGAGGTTCAAAGAAGTAATTTGTGCTTTGAACCACGATGCAAAATGCCTCAAATAAAACCACATTTATTTTGCCAGGCTGTGTTGGAAGCATTTCATATAAATCACCTCATTTATTTATAGAGGAGAAAACGAAAGCTCAGTGAGCCTGAGTAGCTGGCATGCATTTTCCCAGCTAGGCAGTGTTGGGACTGACTCATGAACCAGCTCTGTCAGGCACAAAGCTGATAGCCTTTCCACCGCTTCTTCTTTGGAACATGAAGGAAACTGGCCATTCACTCTGAATCCCTGAGTCAAACACCGGATTAACCACCTCTTGGGGAAATTAACAAATACCTCCCCCCACACCAGTTACAGCACTTCTACATCACGCAAAGTCAAAGAGCCTTTGTTATGTCTGAACATTGTTTGAAGACAGTATTTATAACAAAGCAAAAAGTTTTCTCAGGACGCCCTCCTGGTGGTGATTCCTGAAATGTACTGGGACATCTGACTGGCACACCCCGGTCCCCATTACTACCGCCCAGTTGTGTACAGGTCCTCGGCCGGACACTCTTCTCCACTGCAAGATCTCTCTTTGGATGCAGAAGGAACAGGTAAGACAGAGCTGGACACCGGCCAATGGGCAAATAGCCATATCCTCCAGCATTTTAATTGTTGTTGTTTTCATGTCCCTCTTTAAACTTACACTCCCAGCATGAGATGCCATCTTTCCATAAATTAAAAAAGGCGGTTCATCACAAGGGGAACCCCTCACCCTATCCCCAACTCGGTCACCAGCGCCACCACCACTGAGCTTTGCTAGCAGCGCTGGGCTCCACCTGCCGTCTTTGCACACCTGGCTGCAGCTGCAGCTGCCGATTCCTCACCTTGATGGCCTCCACCGAGTCGTACTTGTCCAGTTTGTTGATGTGGTTCGTTATGCTGGTGTTGAGAGGGGCAGGCGAGACGGGGTGGATGACAGTGGCGTCGTGGGATTGCTGCTGGTAACGCTGACAGTAGGTGTACATTTGATGTGGTTCGTTATGCTGGTGTTGAGAGGGGCAGGCGAGACGGGGTGGATGACAGTGGCATCGTGGGATTGCTGCTGGTAACGCTGACAGTAGGTGTACACGAGCAGGGTGACGAGGCAGCCGAGGATGGAACTGCTCAGCCCCACGGCGATCATGTGGAACATGTTGAACTCTGGGGGACAGGATCACAGTGAGGCTACCCTCGAAAAGAACATGCAACCTAATAGCTTAATGTGTTTCCATGAAAGGAGAAAGACAAAATGAAAAGCCCCATGCTCATTCCAAAATGAAAGAAATCGTGGTTCCTTCCTTTGAAATTTCATGGCCACCAAGAAACTTCTCCACAGTGAGCACAGCATATTTTAAGTTCGTGCTCTTATGAATTATAACCAGCCTTTTGGAGATAACTTAAACCCTAACACACTAGCAGAAGCATCTTTTCTTTGCAGGCTTGTAGGATATTATTCTTATGTTCCGCATGCAGCATGGTCTGTGGTCTGCGGGGTGTCTAAGTTTATCCGCGCTCGTCCACGGCCGCGCCTCCCTGCCTGAGCGTGCTGCGCCCATGAACAGAGGCAGAACGTGCTCGTGGCTTCCAGCCCGGGGCACCTGCCAGCCAGGCTGTTTTCCCTCTCTCCTTCATTATTTCATTTTATTTAAAAATGTTTCATTTACCTAAATTCCTATGATTTCCACTATAATTTTGAATATGAAGACACACAGATGTGTAACATTAGAAAGTACACAAGGGTGCCCAGGAAAAGCACATCTTCCTTCTTTCCTAGAGGCACCTGTTGTGACCGGTTTCTCCTGCGTTCTTCATAGGTGCTCTGCACACGTGTGTGCTCTGCGTGTGTGTAAATATGAGCCCGTGTACCACTTTTTTCATTGACATGGCATTTTGGAGATCTTATCAAGAAAATGGCTTACTCCAAAGAAATAAAGAATTTGTGTTAAAGAAATAAAGTATTTTCTGAATGGTCATGAAATGGCCCTCTTTTCACCTATTCTTTTTCTACTTAATAAGCATCCCTTCTGTTTCTTTGAGTTATTTTCCTCAGGTGATGGATACGAAATATTTGAAAAATAAGCCAACATGGACTTCCATCTCTCAAACAGGACTGGCTTGAGTGACATCAAAGCAACATACCAAGACCTGTGTGATGTTTGAGAAACAACAGCAAAAAGATATTCGTGTGTTGGTAAAACACTACTATTAAAGTCTCAAGCCTTTCAGAGAAGAAAGTTGACATCTAGGCAGTGCCCCTGGTACTGGGCTTGGTGAGAATCAGGTGGAGCAGGACATTCCTATGCTGTGTTTGCATAGTGTGGCTAACTGTCTGTGGGCCACTGGCCTCCTGTCCCCGCTGCTCGGCATACACCCTGAGAACACCCAGCCTTCCCACCAGGGTGTCCCCTCTACACGCCACCAGGGTGTGCAGTGTCACCCGATGCCTTCCCCGATCTGTCAACCCTGGACCAAGTAGGATTATTGGGGATGCCTGCTGGGCATCACTGAGGACACTGGTGAGTCTGCTGGCCATAGGGCAAAGCCTTCAGTACTCAGAGGGCAAGAAGAGCCTGCAGGTCTGTCCGCATACCCAGGGCCTGGGGGGTTTGTATCTTAACTGCCTGGTCTCTTCCCCTGGGATTTTCAGAGCCACCTTCCCTGTGCTCTGTGGTCCTCAGGCCCATTCCCGATGCTCACCACCCAGAAGGGACTCCATCCTGCCAGTGCCAGCCCATGGGCTCTGACACATGATGTCAAAGGGTCACTAGCAGACACTGGGACTCCAGGGATCTGCCAAATCCTTCCTGAATCTCAGGTAACCTGCAGGTGGCTGAGAGGCTCTGCGGAAAGCTGAGCTACAGGGTCAGGAGATGGCAGAGATTGAATATCTGTCATTGTTACTAAACCCTGAGCTTTCCCTTCTTGACTGTGCTCCTGTGCTGCTGTGGACACTGTGTTCCAGGAATGCAGGACTCTGGAGACGGGTCTGTCTCCTGAAGTACGTGGACAGTGGGCAAGGGGCTTTCCCCTGGGTCCCCTGTCAGCATAACTGACACCACGCTCCTGACACTTGAAACTTCAAATGGACATCACAGTTCCTAACACAAGAGTCCAGTGCACTGAGCCCTAGGGGCTGAATAATCCAGGATGGCATCGCTAGAATATTCCACAGCCATCTCCTGCTCCCTGACTACCACCTCCATTTTTCACTTCTAGTTTATGGTATAAGAATATGAAAGAACTTCACAAATCTTTGGCCTTTCCTGATTTGTCATGAAGCCTCTAGTGCTGGGGAGCTCCCCACTGGGACAGTTAGAGAAAGCATCCAGCGGGCGTCCCACCAGCAGTCACTAGAGGTTGTACTGTGACACTGAAGCTGTACTTAAGACGAGCAAGGGCTGATTTCACACCAGTTCTCATTTCTCAATACTTTAGCTGTTAGGACTCCCCAAGGTCAATGCCATGTACTGATAAAAATACTTTCTGCTGCCCCAAAAGCTCATATTTCATTATCATGGAGGGAGGATGCACGATGGTCCCCACACGCAGATACTTTGTCATTAGTCAGATGAATCATTCCAGCAGGTGCCTGGGGAAGGCTGGGGCCAGCTGACATCTTTATGACAGTTATAGGGTCTTTGTGGCTCATGCAACTAAAAATAGCTAAGTTGAAAAATTTCAATAGGAGCATATTTTTCTGCAAAGGGAAAAAAATAGTCCCTATTAAATCTCCTTTGAATCTGCTTAGTGTGGCTCTTTCCTTTGAATATCCTTTTTGCTGTTGTTTTTGGTCACTAAAGCTGGAATGAAAACCAACTACCCAGTTGGTTCAATTAGCTGATTTTCTGTGCAAAGTTTGATTGATTTCCAACTCTGATACAAGATGTCTATTTTGTCTCTGTAAACATCCCCAAACATCCTCACTAGTTAATTGTTTGTTTTCATCTATTAGCTCTACAGTGAGATCCGTCAGATCTGCCTCTGCCGCATTGTCAGTGTCAGCAGTCTAAGATCTAAACAAGTCAGCTCTGAATACTGTAATGAATGTTTTTGTGATTTAACCAATAGCATCTCTAGGCTTCGTTCTGGCTTGTGCAGCCAGCTAGCACAGCTGGCTCACACAGCAGCAGCATCTTAGGATGGGGATGAGTTTTGTTCCGTGTTCTCCTGTTGCTCAAGGCCCATGAAGGATTCCACATTCTAACCTAGAGAGGCCCAGCCAGGGGAAAGTGGATTGCAAACCTCAGGTAGCAGGCAGGATGGCCAGCCAATTCTGCCAGAGGCATCAGCTGTCTGACCCTGGGTTCTTTCTTGGCCTTGCAGAAGTGTCGCTTATACACTCTGCTCCACTCCTGACCTACACTGCCCCCAAAGCAGCAGACAGCCCTGGATCCAGGGTGTCATCCAAGAGTGTCACCTAACCAAGGCTGCTGTGGCTAGAAGTCCTTGGACACAATCCTCCTGGATATTTACTACTGGGATCCCTTTCCTTGGGTGCTTCGGGGTTAAAACTCACATTGGGTCCCACAGCCTGGATCTCATCCCCGTCCCCATTTCTTACTACCTGTGGGGGCTTGGGCCAGTGACCTCACCTCTCTGAGCCTCATAGTCCCCATTTATAAACTACAGACAAAAATACATGGCTACTACCCCTTCTGTACAATTCCCAAACGTACAATCTCTAAAAACTGATTTTTCATCATTCATCTGGCAGCAAAGCATGAGCTGACCTGACTCACTCTGCTGCGGAACATGACCAGAACTGCCAGGACCAATGCCAGTGTCAGCATCTTCACTTTGCCACATTTCCTGGCAGCTTCATTACAGAGACTGCCCATAGCGTACAGCCCAGGTTACGTGGGGTAGTAACTGTCATGTAATGTACAGTGTGGGCCCATTACCCATCTATAATCTGAAAAATGCTGAGTTCCAAAACCCTACTCCATCTCAAAGCATTTTACACAAAGAACTTTGGACCGACGTGAATACTTTGTGAGAGCTAAATGGGATACTTCTTGTCTAAAGGATTTAAAACAGTGCCTGGCACATAGTGACTGATCTAAAAACATTCAGAGAAATTATTGCTATGATTATTTTTATGTGGACTTGTACGTATTCACCTGTAGCTAGTTCCAAAGTTAGTAACTGCCAGTTGGAGAATGTCCTGAACTGACTTAGGTCAGATGTCAGACATTGCCTTTCAAAAAACATTCAGAGAAATTATTGCTATGATTATTTTTATGTGGACTTGTACGTATTCACCTGCAGCTAGTTCCAAAGTTAGTAACTGCCAGTTGGAGAATGTCCTGAACTGACTTAGGTCAGATGTCAGACATTGCCTTTCACAGGTACTGGGGTTTCTTATGATATGACTGCTGGTTTCAGAGGGGCTGAGGCTGTTCCAGTCCCCACTGTAAGCTCACTGTAAGTGCTCAGCAAAGATAACTGAATGAATGAATGAATGGAGTAAGAGGTGGCTGACTAAACACACAGAATGTAACAGACAGTGAACTCTTAATCACTGCAGTTAAGAACGGTAAGTATATTCCTGAAACAAGCATGCAAAGCTCCAGATTCTATGTAAACATAAGCAGAGACCAAAGCCCGTTGGGCTAAGTTCTCTGGGACTACCCTTATGGAATGGGTTATGATGGGAATGACTATATGTCACCAGTCACACATAGGAAGATGAAGGTCTGGGTTTAGATACTGGCTCAGATGATCAAAGGCAGATGTGGGCTGTGATTGGTCATGGGCCAGGTGGCCCCTCCATCCAGGCATGTTCACAATGCAGACAAGTACTTTATAGGTCAATAGAAGGCATAGACTGCAAAGTCCAAGTTTATCATGGACTTGAACCAAAGAATGCAGTTTTTGACGTTCAAGGTTGCAGGAAGTTTGAAAAATTTCTATAGTGATATAAGCATAATTTTATGCCTCATTACTATTAGTCATTTCAGTGGGCTTGAGATTCAAGGCTAGCTGCCACGGGTTTGTACTGTAAATATAAACAAATTGCTTGAATTCTATTCTATTTGAGAAATCTAACTATAGCTAATATCAAGATCACTGCTTCATAAAGAATCACCTGAAGGGCTTATTAAACCACAGATTGCTGGGGCTCACACAAGCAATCTGATTCTGCAGATTGAGGTAGGTAGGCCCTGAGATCTGCATGTCCACCAAGTGCCCAAGTGATGCTGATTATGTTGATCTAGGTACCCCACTCTGTTCCACGTGTCAAATATTGATCAAGGTACAACATATTTGGGATCCAGAAGTTTCTCCAGTGTCATTCTTGGCCACATTGAAAGTATTACAGAAAACAAATGGAAAGAGAAATTATTAGAATATCAGAATACAAATTAGAATTTATTTAAAAGGAAAAACTTACCTCCACACCTTTTATCTTCTATGCTACTGGATCTTGCCACAGATACTTCTGGAAAAACAAAAATCTAATCATAATGCATAAAGGATATTGGCAAGGAAGTTCACACTAATGTTTCATTTACAAAATGTCTAATGCTTTTGAGTTTTACGTGAGTCAAAGTTTCAAAGCCTGATTAATTATCAAAAAAAGAAAATAATTATTTCTTTGTTTTAACCAACCTGAGACGGATTTGGTCAAAGTCACCTTGAGTGGGTAGGGGTAAAATTCATTATCACAGATAGAAAATGCTACAGTCCCTTGGGCTGAAACCGAAGCGTTTGCTGCTTTTCTGTTACTACATATTCTGCCAGCTGTGGAACCCCCACAATGTTTGCCTGTGGTGTTCCCGCCTCAGATACTTGGTTTCATCAAAGCCAGTGTCGTCACATTCCCTCCAGAGGGGAGGCCAATTCACCAGAGCTCAAAGGAAATCCCAAGACAAATAAAGTCTCTATTCAGATGCCAGTTCATGCTCTTTACCATGTCACACATTAAACACACAAGCAAGATGCCAACGACAGGACTGATCTCCTGTGTTTTAACCCCCAAAGATAAAATACCATTTTAGGAGTCTAGAAATGTCATTCTCTCGTGCATTGATTTTTCACTAGATGACAAGAATAAAAAATATGCCTAAGGTTAAAAAGGAAAACAATACACACTCTCATAGTTCTGTACCATACATGACTGAGGTGGTGTGTTATGACTCTACAGCTAATAATTTCCTCTAAAATATTGTGTTTTCCACAAATAGAGGAAAACAAAGAAAATTTGGCTTGTAGAACTGAACTTTATTATTTCTTTGTAACAGGCTGGTGTTGCTTTGGTCCACATGCTAGTCCTAAGATGCACAGTGGGCGTATGCCAACTGGGTTATGCCCTTGTGGGGCACCGTGCCTGCGGCGAGCATGAGACAGGGGACTAGCGATTGCTCATCACCACACACTGATCTCGCATCGAAACACCAGTGGCGCCAACCACCCTCTTCTCCTGTATGAGAATAATGATGGGTTCTATTTTCCCAAATATATTAGAGATTGCATAAAGAAAATGATGATTTTTCTCTGTGCAAACACACACACATAGCTTACCAAAGCATTTAGCCTAATGTTAAAATAACCAAATAACCTATTTTCATTTTTCTGAGCAAAATCTTCTCACTGTATTATAGTTAATACAGTAGAGAAGTCACTGCATTTAAAAATGTCTTAAATTCATGGACAGAATTTAAGTCTAAATCTGCAGTTATTTATAAATGTACACTTTAATCACCCTGAAACCACAAGACTTGATAGAATCATCTCTCTTTCACCAGACACGGCCTCAAGGAATAGATAAAACTCTGACCTATGAATCATTTTCTCTCTAAAAGTTGGAAATGATTTTGTTGCTGGTGATAAACACCTCTGCGCTTACCCGGGATGAAATTAGAATCAAAAACACATGGGCGGCTCTCTGTGGTGTTTCCGGAACACTGGGTGCCCACAGGGAACAGAAGGATGCACTGGCGGCCCCGGACTTGGACACCAGACGCGTCACACTCAGACCAGGCTGACCACTCCGACCAGCTCTCTGCAGTAACCAGAAGAAGGGAAATAGGGCAAAATTACCTGCTGAGAGCAATCAACCTGGAAGCACTGATGTTATATACATTATTTTAAGTTTTCATGTTATGTTTTTCAAAGGTTCTGTACATAAACAAGATACAGTTGTATCCTTTGATCTGTAAATAAAATACACAGGAGAATGAATAAAAGTACTAGTGTATCTTTTATTTAATACATTTTCTAAAACTCATATTATTTTAGTGTTTTAAATTGTATTTGTATACTCAGTAAATGAATCCATGAGACCCAGCCGTGTATTGACCATCGGTAGTGAGGAGACAGAAATCCATGCAGGCACTATTTCCTATAAGGCATAATTCCCTGAGAGCAGCAGCCCTCAAACCCTTTTCTGAAAAATGCCTGAAAATTTCCTGCAGACCTTCGTGCTCAGGTAAGAGAAATAACTGTGTGCTCATGAGAAAGCCCCAGTTTCTGAATGGGAGTTTGAAGCTACCACATGTATTTTCTCTTCTGTTTTAAAGACAATTCTGCAGTCAATATGCCACAGTCAGGCCACCCTTGAGGTGGGGTTCATTTTATCCCATGGTTGCTGTCACCGGACAGCATGAAGTCAATGCACAAGCCTTCGGTCAAGGCCAAGAAATGAGCATTGGCAGCACACATCACCCTGAAGTGGAAGATTTCACTGGGATTTGTTAAATTCACCCAGGCGTACAGATGTGTGAACAGGGAGGAGTAACACTTATTGGCAGCACACATCACCCTGAAGTGGAAGATTTCACTGGGATTTGTTAAATTCACCCAGGTGTACAGATGTGTGAACAGGGAGGAGTAACACTTAGACTTAAGATTTGAAAAAAAAATTCTCAATATTATTCATACAATTTTAATCAATATAAAAAAGATATTTTTAATGCAGTTTGCTTTCTTCCTTTTAAATGTAAGCATCAACTTTGCAGTGGCAGGAAATACCTGGAAATCAAACTTGTGCCTTGATTCAGGTGAAGGGAACAATTTTTCCTTAGAAATGTGTAAAATGCCAGGTTTTGGAATGATTGTGAGAATCAGGTTTTGAGGCCCTTTTCAATATAAATGGAAGTTTCTAGAAAGATCTGCAGTAGCAAATTAAAAGAAGTATAAGTGTTTCAATGTCAAAGTCAGACCCAAAAAAGAGTGGCTCATTTTCATTCCAAGTGGTCCCTACATGTCAGAAAACTGAGCTCCTTCCTGGATGGGTGTAGCACATCCCAATGACGCTGATTCCAGGATTTGTATTTTTTTCTCTAATTGCCCTACCTCTGGATTATAGCCCATTGGCCTTGGACAAAATGTCCTCCAAGAGTGCCTGGTGTCCCCCTGTACTTTAGAGGTCATTCTGAAATTCAAGTCTGGAGACGCTCAGAAGACATTTGACTGGGCCCAGGCAGGCCATGAAAAAGCAAGGGCTGCAGGTGGGGGCTCTGCCAATGCTCGCTTCTTTCCATTCTGTCCGTCCGAATTTCTCGCTTCCTCAGCACAGCCAGGTGCTGCTTGTGAGTCATTAGTGTGAATTAGCAAGGTCAAGGCCAAATTGGGAAATTTCCTAATTAGGTAGTATAGGTGTTATAATACAATGTATACACTCTCCCAGTGATGTGATAAAGGCTTTGAACACTAGTTCTGCATCTAGGCAATGCTGAGAACTCTCTTATTGTAGAACCATGTGTTATGAAGTCACTTCGAGGGTAATAACGGTGTGGGACCGACCGTCCCCCCTTTCAGTACTGATTGTGATGTGGTATCATCGACTTCACCACACGTAAATGAAGGGAGGTCGTGCAATAAGCAAGGCGCTGCTTACCGGGGCAGGGCTGCGTGTTACACAGCGCCTCTTCTGTGTGCAGCCCCAGGCAGATGTCCCCTCCGTAGGCCGGAGCGGGATTCGTGCATGAACGGGTCCTCATGTAGTGTCCGCCGCCACACGTTGCTGAGCATTTTGACCAGGAAGACCAGCAAGACCACGCGCCGTCCACTGGGAAGGGACACAAAGTCACACTTCTGAGCAATCTGAGGCAGCTATAGACAGAATGTGCATTGCAGGAGTGCACCATGCACACCACGACGAGGCTACTGACCACTCTTGAGGGCACATTCGGGGGCTGCCTCTTGGTGATGGATCCAGGTTTTTAGATTCCTCCCTATAATTTTTCAGTTCCTCTCATTCGTTCTTTCAAAAAATATTCCTAAAGATACAGTCATGTACCATGTGACAATGCTTTGGTCAACAACAGACAGCATATACAACAGTGGTTGGAGGAACAGGCTACACCAGACAGCTTAGGTGTTTAGTAGGCTACACCAGCTAGGTTTGTATAGTACACTCTATGATGTTCACACAATGACACAATTGCCTAATGATGTATTTCTTAGAATGTATCCCTGTCATTAAGCAACACATGACCGTATGATATCTAAGCATGCGGTTGACAGAGTATAATGTATGTAAAATAAACCTCCAGTTCCTGGAAATAACCATGAAACACACTGTGCGGTTAGTAATGTGAAGCCCCCAGACAGCTNGTTTGTATAGTACACTCTATGATGTTCACACAATGACACAATTGCCTAATGATGTATTTCTCAGAATGTATCCCTGTCATTAAGCAACACATGACCGTATGATATCTAAGCATGCGGTTGACAGAGTATAATGTATGTAACATAAACCTCCCGTTCCTGGAAATAACCATGAAACACACTGTGCGGTTAGTAATGTGAAGCCCCCAGACAGCTCTCACCTTTGCTCTCTGCACAGTCTAGCTGGCCAGACAAGACTTAAAGCTAAGGGTAAGTAGTTCAAGTCACAGCCTTCCTTACTAATTGGATTACAGTTTGCTCCTTCTCAGTGGGATCGAGGAAAGCTAATGGGTCCCATGAGGAAAGTAACCGTGAAAGATGCTCAGTAAATTCAGGCACTAAATAGCCCAACTAA